AGGGCGTCTCACGCAGGAATGAGAACCATTTCCTCCAGCCCTGCTGCCCACCCCCAGCACAGAGCAGCACAGGGGGCTGGTCCCGCAGGCCAGGGGAGGGGGCACCCACCACCGCCTCTGGCCTGTTAGGAGGGGGCGGGGGCGGGGCTGACTCCAGATCACAGCCAGCTCCACCAGGGACCCCCACCCCCTTCGGACGGGGGGGGGGGGGGCGACGGGGCGGAGACCCCCGTGGGGCTCTCAGTGCTGTGTGACTTCAGGCAATCTCTCCGCCTCTCTGAGTTTCCATGTCTGTGGGAAGGACGGGGCGGCCCCGTGGAGGCTTAACTTAATGGGGTGTCAGCTCTTGGAGGAAGTGCTCCCCCCGGGCAGCTGCTGTGGGGCTGAAGGCGCGTCTCTGGGATGCCGCTGATGTGCCCGAGAAGGGTGGGTGACCCCTGCCTCCCTGCTCGCGTGGGGGCCGCACTTGCTGGGGCGGGTCTTTCTCCTGTCGCCCAGGTTTGGAAACTGAGGCTCAGAGAGGCCATGCCCGTGGGGTGCTGGCCGGGGAAAGGGGGAGAAACCCCCAGGCTGAACCCCCCCCCCAGAGGCCTGTCCTGGAGGCGGATCCGTCTCCAGCACCTGGAGTAGCCAAGGAAGCAGCCCGAGCAGCAGGGCGTCCGTCGCGGAGCTGGCGGGACAGGCCAGGGGCTTCCCGGCCGCCCCCGCCCCACTGTTTGTTAGTTTTTCCAATCCAAGAAGAAAAACATTTCCTCCTCTTCCCCCTCCGCCTCCCCCTCCCTCCTCTTCCCTCCTCCTCCTCCCCCTCTTTTTCCCTCCTCCTCCCTCCTCCTCTTCCTCCTCCTCCCTCCTCCTCCTCTTCCTCTTCCCTCCTCTTCCTCCCTCCTCCTCCCCCTCCTCCCAGCTCAGCCCAGGCACCCAGAGGGCTGGGGGCTGGCAGATTGGGATGAGGCGGCTTGTTCTGCATTCTCGGGCTGGCCTAGCCCCGCAGACCCCCGGGCTTGCTCGTCTGGGCCACTGTGTCCTCATGGGCTAGCACTGGACTGTGTCCACACAATCCGCCAAATTTGTTCTGGGGCCTCACCTGGTGGTGCTCAGGGCTCGCGCCTGGCTCTGCACTCAGGGATCACTCCTGGGAACCATATGGGGTGTCGGGGATCGAACCCTGGCCAGCTGTGTGCAAGGCAAGTGCCGTCCCCGCTGGACTATCTCTGTCCCACACATTCCCCAGATTTCGGGCATTTTGCGCCACCTGGATTGCTATTTACTGTCTATCCTTAAATTCACTCATTACAAAATGAATATGTTTTCAGTGATCACAAACTTGGATAACTACGTTTCTTTTCCTGCGTGTTCTGCTTTTGGTTTGGGGGCCACCCCCAGCAGTGCTCAGGGCCTACTCCTGGCTTTGTGCTCAGACTCACTCTGGGCGGGCTCAGGGGACCCCGCGGGGTGCCCGGAGACCCACCCCCTGCTCCAGCCCCTGTACCTGCGTTTCTCAAGCAGACATCGCGTCATTCTGGGGCGTGAAAAGCCCAGGTCACCCGCCAAAGCCCGAAGATGAGGCAAATATTATGAGGAAGAGAGGAAGCGGCACTGCAGCCTCTCCTGGAAGACTGACGTCCGCGGCGCTCAGCGCGAGACCTTTTGCAATAAGCAGGGACAATGACAAATGTGTTCCTGGCGTTGAAGGCACGTGGTCACAAATCAGACCAGCTCCCTGATAAGATCGGAAATGCCGGGCCGAGACTGAAGGCCCGAGTTCCAGGGCTCTGCGTGGGCCGGCCAGCCCCGCGTCCCCTTACTGGGGGGTGGGCCACGCCTAGCAGTGCAGGGGGGCTACTCCTGCTCCCTGCCCGGGGTCGCCCCAGGAATGCGGACCCCCTGCAGCGAAGCCTCTGCTCAGCCCTGACGCCCACTCCGAGCAGACCCCCGTGTCTGAGCAAGGCACTAGCTGCCTCTCTCCACTTCCTTCTTCATTCAAGCACGTCCACTGCCCCCCAGGGTGGCCACTCCATGCCCCCTGCTGACCGGAGGAGTCCCTGCCAAGCATCTCCAGCGCAGAGAGCTGGGCTCAAAGCCTCGGTCTGTCCATCTGTGAGATGGGCTGGGGGCTGAGATGGGCAGCGGGGGCACAGCTCTTGGCTCTCAATGGACGGCCACTTCGCTGGCCACCACGGGTGACCACAGTGACCCGGGGCAGCACAGCTCTCTGCAAAAGGAGAGACGTGTGTTTGCCGGGTTCCCAAGGCCTGGCCAGTGCCTCCACGTCCGGCACTTGGAGCTTCTCAGGGCTCAAGGTCCTCTAGGGGTCTTGCTGCTTCTCACTGGATGAGGGGAGAAAGTAGGCTCAGAGAAGTCAAGCAGCCCGCTCTAGGTCACACAGCACTTTGCATGCCATTTGCAGCCTGGGGCTGTGCCCCTCGGAGGCGTCCCGGCATCTTGGCTCTTCGTTGGCTGTGCAGGCAGGAAGGAGCATTCTCACCCGGGCTCGGTGGGGGGAGCTGCAGGATGCGGCTGGAGGCGCTCGGAGACAGGAAGGAAACCAGGAGGGGCTGGGACGCAGGGGGAGCGGGAGGGAGGCCGAGATCGAGGCAAGCAGAGATGCACACGCACACTCACACGCACACACCCGCACACACGAGCACACACCAAAGGGGGTTTGGGGAGAGACAAAGGGAAGAAGGTGAAGACAAAACCAGGGCGGGTGGGGCGGAGGGAGAGGCCACCGGGAGCCAGGGTTGGGGCTCCCCCCCCCCCCCCCGCCCACACCCCCCGCTGGCCAAGGTCCCTTCTGCTGGGTGGGGGGTGGCCACAGCCCGGACCCTGCGTCCTGCAGACCAGGTGGGGCTGTCCCCGAGTGGCCTTGAGCCGGCCTTGGGGAGGAGGTGCGGTGCCCGCGGGACGTTTCCTCTTGGAAGTCTCTGCTGGCCGGGACTGGCTTTGGGGGACTCAGGGCAGGAAGGAGGAAGGCGGAAGGCCCGGGTGTCGGGCGAGGGAAGTGCCGGGGACAGGGGCCAGTCTTCCTGCCTGCAGAGGGGCGAAGGAGGCCTGTCCTTCCTTCCTGGCCAGGTGGAAACCCCCTCAGGGCCAGAGGCAGGGGTGCTTTGGGCAGCTGAGGGTCTGATGCGCCCACCCCTCCCACCCCACCCCACTGTTCTCCGGAGCCAGGGCCTGTGGGGGGGCTCAGAGTCAGACTTCAGCGACAGACACTGGACTTGGGCCTCTCGGGCCAACCCCTCCCTGGGGCCACAAGACCTCTGAGGGGGGAGAGAGAGGAGAGGATTCCTGGGCAGAGCTTGGCTGGGGGCCCGGTGGGGCAGGCCTGGCTGAGCCACGAGGGTGGGCTGGACCCCCTCACCTCTCTGTACCTCTGGCCCAGAGCCCACCTGCCCCGCAGCCCAGCACCTACAGATCTGAGCCTTATCTCCCATCAACCCAGAGGCCTCAGATCTTGCTGCCCCAAGGCCCAGAGGGGCGGTGCCTGGGGGGGGAGGGAACAGCCTGGTCCCGGCTGCAGAGGGGACAGAGGCCTGACTCCGAGTCCATGGGCCGTGTGGGCTGCCCATGCCAGCACATGCCTCACATACTTCCTCTCGCCTTTTCCTGGTTCTCATATCTGACCCTGAGCGCTGCCCCTCTGTCCCGGAAAAACCTCTTTGATGTGGCTGGGGCCTGGGGGACAGGCCATGGTGTGAGGGGGGAGGGGGAGGGCTGCCTAGCGGCCCTGGAGTGCCCAGGCCTGGAGGGTTGGGGGGTGGGGGGGTGGGGGGGCTCTGATCAGGACAGCGCCCTGCGTAAAAAGGGGAGACGAGGAGAGATCAAGGGGGCTGAGTGAGCGGGAAGGAACAGCAGAGCCGGGAGTGTGTGTGTGGGGGGGAGGAGGGTGGTCCTAGGGGAGCCCCCGCAGACGGGGAACAGACGGGAGGGAAGGAGCCGGTCCCGGGCGTGGGGCGGGGTAACGGAGCGGGAGCCCGAGAGCGCAGACGACGCGGGGAAGGCGCCCCAGAGCCGGAGACGAGACGAGACGCGCGCCCGGGCGCCCGGAGTTGGGGGCGCCGAGGGTGGGAGTCGCACCGAAGCCCGGGGGCAAGGGACAAGGGGCGCCAAGTCCGCGTCCCGCAGGCCGAGCGGGAGGAAGGCGCGGGCGGGGGTTGGGGGGCGGCTTACTCGGGGGTCGCGGGGCAGGGATTCCCGGGACGCGGGACACGGGGGTCCCGGAGTGCGAGGTCCCGGGTCGCGGGGGTCCCGGCGCGCGGGGTGCGGGAGGGTCCCGGAGTGGGAGGTCCCAGGGATCGGGGGTCCCGGGGCGTGGAAAGCGGAGTCCCGGGGCGCGGGGGTCCCGGAGTGCCGGGTCTCAGAGCGCGGGGGTCCCGGGGCGCGGGGGGTCCCAGAGCGCGGGGGTCCCGCGGGGCAGGGAGCGGGGGTCCCGGAGTGTGAGGCCCCGGGGAGCGGGGGGCCCGGGGCGTGGGAAGCGGGGGCCCGGGGCGCGGGGGCCCCGGAGCGCGGGGGTTCCGCGGGGTCCCGGGGCGCGGGGGTCCCAGAGCGCGGGGGTCCCGCGGGGCAGGGAGCGGGGGTCCCGGAGTGTGAGGCCCCGGGGAGCGGGGGTCCCGGGGCGTGGGAAGCGGGGGCCCGGGGCGCGGGGGCCCCGGAGCGCGGGGGTTCCGCGGGGTCCCGGGGCGCGGGGGTCCCGGGGCGCGGGGGTCCCGCGGCGCGGGGGTCCCGGGGCGCGGGCGCGGGCGCGCGGAGGGGGTGGGGGGAGGCGGGCGCGGCCGGGCGGGGCGGGAGGGCGTGTCGGCCGCGGGGCCGCCCCCGGCCCGCCCCCGAGCGGCGCGGCGCGGCTGAGCGGGGCCGGGGCGCCGGGCCGGGGGCGGCTGGCGCGGGCAGGAAGCGCCGCGCGGCCCGGGCCCGCCCCCCGCCTGCCGCCGCCTCCGGGCTCCGGCTCCCGGCCGCGCCGCGCCCCATGCACTCGCCGCGCCGCGCTGCCCGCGCTCGCCCGGATGGCTCGTCGCGCCGCGGGCGGCGCAGCCCGTAGCGCCCGGGCGGCCCCGGCCGGGCCGCGGGTCCGGCCGCCGCCGCCGCCGCCTCGGCCGCCGCCGCCCGCGCTGGCGCTGCTGCTGCCGCTGCTGCTGGGCGCGGCGCGCGCCGGGGCGCTGGAGATCCAGCGGCGCTTCCCGTCGCCCACGCCCACCAACAACTTCGCCCTGGACGGCGCGGCCGGCACCGTGTACCTGGCGGCCGTGAACCGCCTGTACCAGCTGTCGGGCGCCAACCTGAGCCTGGAGGCCGAGGCGGCCGTGGGCCCCGTGGCCGACAGCCCGCTGTGCCACGCGCCGCAGCTGCCCCAGGCCTCGTGCGAGCACCCGCGGCGCCTCACCGACAACTACAACAAGATCCTGCAGCTGGACCCGGGCCAGGGCCTGGTGGTCGTGTGCGGCTCCATCTACCAGGGCTTCTGCCAGCTGCGGCGCCGCGGCAACATCTCGGCCGTGGCCGTGCGCTTCCCGCCCGCCGCGCCGCCCGCCGAGCCGGTCACCGTGTTCCCCAGCATGCTGAACGTGGCCGCCAACCACCCGAACGCGTCCACCGTGGGGCTGGTGCTGCCCGCGGGCGCGGGCGCGGGCGGCAGCCGCCTGCTCGTGGGCGCCACGTACACGGGCTACGGCAGCGCCTTCTTCCCGCGCAACCGCACGCTGGAGGACCACCGCTTCGAGAACACGCCCGAGATCGCCATCCGCTCGCTGGACGCGCGCGGCGACCTGGCCAAGCTCTTCACCTTCGACCTCAACCCGTCCGACGACAACATCCTCAAGATCAAGCAGGGCGCCAAGGGCCAGCACAAGCTGGGCTTCGTGCGCGCCTTCCTGCACCCGCCCGCGCCGCCGCCGCCGGCCGCGCCGTCCTACGCCTACCTGGCGCTCACCAGCGAGGCGCGCGCCGGCGACAAGGAGAGCCAGGCGCGGAGCCTGCTGGCGCGCATCTGCCTGCCCCGCGGCGCGGGCGGCGACGCCAAGAAGCTCACCGAGTCCTACATCCAGCTGGGCCTGCAGTGCGCGGGCGGCGCGGGCCGCGGCGACCTCTACAGCCGCCTGGTGTCCGTCTTCCCCACGCGCGACCGGCTCTTCGCCGTCTTCGAGCGGCCCCAGGGCGCGCCCGCCGCGCGCGCCGCGCCCGCCGCGCTCTGCGCCTTCCGCTTCGCCGACGTGCAGGCCGCGATCCGCGCCGCGCGCACCGCCTGCTTCGTGGAGCCCGCGCCCGACGTGGTGGCCGTGCTGGACAGCGTGGTGCAGGGCACCGGGCCGGCGTGCGAGCGCAAGCGCAACATCCAGGTGAGCGGCGGGGCCGGCGCGGCGCCGCGCAGGGGTGCGGCGCGCGCGGGGAAGGCGGCTCCGTCGTGCGCCGCCGCGGGCAGGTGTGCGGCCAGCTGTGCCCGCCGCCGCCGGCAGGTGCGCCGCGGGCGGGCGCGGGCGGGCGCGGGCGGGCGCCAGGGGCCCGCGCAGTTCTGGAGAGGACGGCCCGTGGGGAGCGAGCGGCACTCCGGGGACACGGGTGTCCCCGGGTCACCCGCCGCGTGCCCCTCGGCCGCTCCGGGCACGGCTGCTGCTGCTGCTGCTGCTGCTGCTGCGGGTGGCCCCGGACTTGGCCCCCCGAGCTCAGGTCAGGCCCGGGGAGGGCCCCAGCACGGAGGCTCAGCCTGTGAGCTCAACATCACCTTGGAACTGAAGGAGGTGGGACCCGAACCCAGGCCAGCCTCTGCCCTCAGGCTTTTTTGCAGCTTAATAGACACGGAGCTGGGGGTGTGTGTGTGCCACGGAGTGAATGGTGACTGTGAGTGTGTATGGGTGTGTGTGTGTGTGTGACTGAGTGTATGTGAGTGTATGTGTGAGTGTGTGGTGATGAATGTGAGTGTGTGTGTGAGCATGAGTGTATGTGAGAGTGTGATTATGAGTGTATGTGAGTGTGTGAGTGGGTGTGTGACTTGGCTGAGTGTATGGGAGTGTGTTACCGTGTGTGACTGGGAATGCGTGTGAGTGTGTCAGTGTGAGTACTTATGGGACTGAGTGTGTGAGTGTGTGTATGAACGTATGTGGCTGTGTGTGTTGTGAGTGAGTGTGGGATATGTGTTGAGGTTCACTGTGGTGTGTGTCGGGGTTCGTGTGTGGTGTCGAGGGTGTGTAGTGTGGGTAGGAAGGGGGAGTGCATGGGGGTGGGGGCCGGGGAGGGGAGGTGCTGTGGTGGATCTGGGCTGGTTAGGTTGGGGGGGGCTCAGGGTTTCATTGAGGGACCCCGGAAGGGGTCTCTTCTCTAGGGTCCCCGGGAGGTGGGTGACCCTTTCCATGCCCGTCACCCAGATAGAATCTGGAGGGTCTATTTGTTTTTGCCTTTCGTTGTTGTTTTGGGTCACACTGGACAGTGCTCAGGGGTCACTCCTGGCGGGGCTCAAGGGACCATATGGGGTGCTGGGGGGTCAACCCCGGCCGGTGGTGTGCAAGGCAGGTGCCCTCCCCGCGGTACCTCTCAGGCCCTTGGGGATCTGTTTGACAGTCCCCCAGGAAGGCCCAGTTGTCCTTCACTGTTGCCCTGACATCCTCCCAGTCACAGGGGACCTCAGGAAGGAATGAGACCCACAGCTGTCCCATAGCAGGGCAGGGAACATGGGAGACAGTCCTCTTGCACTGGACACGGGGGACAGTACTGAAATGGACACAGGGACACGGGGTCAGTCCTGCTAAAGTGGATGCAGGGACACGGGGACTTGGGGACAGCCTTCCTGCAGGGGGACAGGGATGGAGGACAGTCCAGCTTCCACGGTGGACGTGGGGACAGTGCGTCTCCTGTAGTGCCCCTGCGGGCACCCAAGTCAGAACGAGGGTTGTGGTGCCACTCGGGGCTTGAGCCCGGCTCCCACCAGCTGCCCTTTGGGTTTGGTTTTGGTTTGGGCCCACCCGGCAGTGCTCGGGGATTGTTCCTGGGGCATCCCTGGGGGGTGCTGGGATGGAGCCTGAGTCCAGCATCGGCAGGGCGAGGTGTTGGTGTAGCTGCCGCCCAGTCTTTGCCCCCGCCCCCCGCTGGAGCGCCCCCTTCCCCGCTCAGGGCCACTCTGCCCGGTGGGCTGTGTCGGGGGGATCAAGCCTCATCAGGGTCTCAGAGTGGTGCCCTGTGGAGGGGTGACCCTGGGGCCAGGGTGCCCCCCACCCCCCTCCATGCCTGCCCAGCTGAGCCGCTCTCCTCCCTCCCTCCAGGAGTGGCCTGTTTCCCACGGTCCGCCCGGCCTGGCCTGGCCTGGCCTGACTCACTCCAGAGCACTGGGCCTGTCCTTGGGGGCAGGGCCTCTCTGGGACTCGCCCCCCCCCCCCCCCCGCCTCTGCCCCTCCCCCCTCCCCGTGCCCAAGGCCAAGCATCTGGCATTGCTGCGGGGCTGGGGGGGGTGGTGCCGTCACTTTCTCCCTCAAGGCCGGGGCCGCCTGCCCAGTTACGGCTCAGCCCTGGGTCTTGGGTCCCAGGGTCGCCCTGCGCTGTCATTTCCCAGCTGTGAGACTTCAGTCAACAGCTTAGCTGAGCCTCGGTTTCCTCATCCGTGAAGTGGGGGTCTCTGAGGGTGGTCAGAAAGACCAGCGAGGGGCAGTAAAGTCTGGGGTGGCCCCTGATGGGGGACCCTGTTCTAGCTGGCTCACCCCGAGGGCACCCTGGCTGGGCTTAGCCCAGACGGTCGGCAGGGGAGACAGACAGGTGAGGCAGAGGTGGGGCCGAGGGGGCGCCCTGGCTGAGCGGCCTGCAGATGCTCCCGGGGGACGGGTGGGGTGGGGGGAGAGTGCTGAGCTGCTGGCCGCGCTTAGGCGGGACTTTCCATGGGATTAGCTCATCTCTCAGTGTCGGGGGGCTGCACCTGGCCCTGGCTGACGGCGGGGTGGGGGGGGCCGGAAACAGAAGCCGGGCTTTGGCACAGGCAAAGGCCTTCCCGCCACCCCAGGGTGCAGGGCAGGTTTGCGGGCCGAGACAGCCAGAGGCTGAGTCCCTCCTCCTTGGCCAGTCGCTCTCCAGGGTCATCGGGACCAGGCCTTGCGGTGGGCGTGGGGGTGCGGGCAGTGGGTAGCCCAGCGCTCAGACCCCTTGGTGGCAGCAGGATGCGGGGGGCTGAGGCTGCCGGGGTCCGGCTCAGGACAGAATGGGGTTGGGGTGGCTAGGCGGGTGGGGAGGGTCCCTCAGCCTTTCAGCCAACCCTGGGCCTCTGGGTCCCTGGACACCCCCTTCTTGCTGGCTGTGGTGGCCTCCAGGGCCCCCCTCTGCTCTCCGAGTCAGCCTAGGACAACCCTCTGCTTCTCCCTCGGACTCTGGCCTAATTGGGGGGCTGTAGCCGGGGGAGGCCAGAGGCAGGACACCCTGGCTGCTGCCCCCGGGGGGTCCCCAGAGCCCCACCTGCCTTTGTCCCCGTGCTGTGGCGAGACCAAAGAGGAGATGGGCCTCCAGGCAGGCCGGGGACCCCTTTGCTTGGGCTGGAGACCGGCTGGGAATTGGCCCCGTGCCTGAGGCACGGTGGGGCCCGAGTCTCACAGACTTCCCTAGGTCCGTCCCCTCCATCCTCCAGTGACCGTGTTTGTGTTCTCAGTGGTGGCGCAAAGAGGCAGGCAGACAGCACGGTGCCCACATGGGCTTCTAGGCCGGTGGAGGGTGGGCGCTGTGAGGAGGCGCTGAGCTCAGGAGGGGGGCATTACCGGGGGGTGGGCGCTGGGCTCAGGAGGGCATCTCTGCACCCCCTTGGGGGCTGCAGTGCCCAACGAGGTGGGGGCTGGGAGTGAGAGACAATTCTGGGCAGGGTGGCAGGAGGGAGCGTCAGCCCCGGGGTTGCCCAGGGCCAGGGCCAGGGAACTGTCTGGAGTCCCAGGCAGGAAGTGGCCGTGCAGTCCCGTTGTCCAGCCCATCAGCTGTGTGACTCAGGGGGAGTCCCGGACCCTCTCTGGGCCTCGTGCTTTCTCACTGACATGTGGCCAGGACTGCTCTGAGGGGGCAGCTAGATTCTGATCACACATGCAGTGCCCAGGAAACCAGCAGCGGGGGTACCGGCCCGGGAGTGGGGGAGATGCCCCCAGAGAGAGTGGGGTCAGTAGGGCTGGACCCCAGCAGGATGGACTGGACCAGTCTCGGGCTGCAGGATCCGGGAGCTGGCGGCAGGCCCAGGGGTGCGGGTGACCCCTGACAGGCTCAGGGACAGGAAGGCCAAGGCTGGGAAGGAAGGGGGTCAACCTAGTGTACACGTGTGTATGCACCCATGGATGTGTGCACGTGTGCACATATGAGCCTGCACGTGTGTCTCATTGTCATGTCTCTGTCTATGAGTATATGTGTATCTTGTGTGTGTTTGCATGTGCGTATGTGTGTATGCCTGTTGCAGGGTGTATATGTATGATTGCATGAGTGTATGCATGTGTAAATTTCTGCACGTCTGCATGTCTGTATATGCACGTGTGTCGGCAGTGTGTTTGTGTGTCTTCCCGCCTTCATATTTGCATGTGTGTATGTATGTGTGTCTGTATATGTAGATGCATGTGTGTATACGTGTGTCTCCGTGTCTGCATGTCTTTATGTGCACGTACGTTGTGTGTGTGTGTGTGTGTGTGTGTGTGTGTACTGGTTTCCGCTCCTGAGGAGGGTGGCATTGGTAATGATCACCGGCCTCCCAGTTGTGAGTTCTGCTGCTGTCCTGGTTTCCAGCTGGGGAAACTGAGTCAGGGTGTGCCAGCTGGTTGGGGTGCCCGGGTCAGGTGGCTGGTGGGGACTGAGAGCCCCAGCGCCTGCCCCATGGGGACATGGACGGCTCCTCTGCACCCCGGGACAGGCCCGGTAGAAGCTGGGCTGGTTCTGCCACGGCTCAGATAAGGGGGGGGCCAGGCTGCCGGCCTCCCCCAGGGCACAGCCCACCGTCGGGGGTTAGCTGGGAGGGGAGACCCTGTGTGCTGGGGCGCCACCCCCAGGACGCACAAGCTGAGTGACCCGACAGGAGCCAGCGGCCTCCCCACCCCGTCGTTTAAGGCAGGCTCAGCCCTAGGGAGACAGCGAGAGCACTGTCCTGGGAGCATCGTGGGATGAGGTCCCGCCCTGCCTGGGCCTTGGTTTCCCTGTCTGAGTCGGGCTGAGGGTGAAGAGTGTCAGCACCGTCATGCTATGGTCCCTCGGGAACGTCCTGCCCCGTATCCTCTGATGCAACACACACATGCAAGCCCCCCGCACGCAAGAGGCCCCCCTCTTCCATCCCCAAAGTGGCAGGAAACACAGGCACGGCCCCCCTTAACGCCAGACCCCGTGAGAGAACCCCTCACTCCCACTGAGGAAC